TTATTTGTAGTCGATTGATCTCGAGCGAATCAACGACACTAAAACTGCAATGGAGTTATGCATAGCTTCTGAGGCTGACGTTCGTCCAATCATTGGTTAGTAGTTAATTCTATTCGACAACATATTAGACAGATGCTGATATAGCAACCTAAGTTAAAATCCGAAATTACTCCAGAACAAGTTTTTTCGCTTCAGTAACATTGCTTCGATATGTTATATGCTAATTAGGTATCGATGGTGATCTGCTCACTGCAGAGTTCTAATTTTTACCATTTTTTTCCAGCTAGATGTCATGAAGACATGAGAAAGGCCGTGGAGCAAATTGATGCCGTTCAAGACACCGCTATGGTCGTAGAACAGTTTAAGTAGGTTCTATATTGTCCCTAATTTGGAGGCTGCGACTTTGAAGAACCATATAATTTTTTCTATATTAAAAATCTTGTTCTTTCGTCACCTTTCTAGTTAAGCTGCATTTGGAAGCTTTATAATAAGACAGTGTACAGTTTTAACGAATTTTCATTGAACTAAATGCATCATTGACGCAAAGGCGTCCAATTTTTCCCATTCATAGTCGCCTTCTTCTTTTTCAATTGCATTTCTCATTGTAACATGTCTCCTCTGGTTGAACAAAGTGATGGTTCACTTTGTTTATCTTGGATAATGTCACGGTTCTTTGTCAGAATGCATGCTTGCTCATGCCATTAGTCATTTTTGATGTAATTTACAACATTGCCTAGAATTTCATAGAGGAAAAAAGACGCGCTCGATGTGTAACTTTTCCTTATCAATTACAGGACTCTGTGTCAAAATAGTCCATATTCATCAGTCATCACTATAGTCTATTAGTAAAGGGTCTTACTTCTTTTGCTTCATCGAAGAGGGGTCCTTTCAACCCTGATGAGGATATAGGGTAATAGGGTTGCGAAGCGAAGCTATTTATGTCTTTTTTCTTTATAATTCATATGTTACAGGTATTGTCAAGCGCATGGCTTCTGTATGTGTTAAATTATCTTATGAAAATTTAGGACTGGTTACACTTTTCCTCCTCCTCTCCATTTTGAGGATCTCGGTCGTCCTGACTCTTGCCTCAGTGGAGGTATGTTTGATACGTCGAACATTTTGTGTAGACTTTAAACGTAATGAAGTGAATATAGGAAGTTTCATTCTCTCAAAAGGGCATAGCTCTTCAGCATTCTCAACAATGAATTACAAGGAACCTTCAAACTTAATCGTTGTTTCTCTGAGCTTCTAATATTTTCAGAGGTTTCACATGTTGATTCAACGTTGAAGCGAGGAATGCTCAGTGGGGGAAAGAAAGACGGTAAAGGAGTATCCCGAAAGCAATCAATGCATCAGAAATTTTTTGGAGGAGGAGATAAACACAAGGTTTGGATGTCCTATTTTTCGCGACGTTATCTTTGTCGCACTCTGTTTTTGCATTTTTGCATGATTTGTTCTTCTGCGTCTATCGCAGCGCTTATCTTAGCTGGCAATCCAGAACTCAATTGTTTATATGGTTAGGGGAATGTGACCAGAATTAGCAAAGCTCTAGCGATGTGTATGGCAAGGTTGTGCGCATTTCTTGGATAATTTTTGCATTTGCTAAACACATGAATTAATGCGGGACAGTTCTAGGGTACACGAAAGTGAGTTGAGAGGTCCCAGAACAGGATAAAAGGGAAACAATAGTAGACGTTGTAGATGGCAGTTATTTTCTTCAGCTTCCATATTTGTAGAAGTGTCATGATAAACAATTCAACAGTTATGCTACTAGGCTGACGCAAATGGTGATTACGGTCAACTTCCTCCGCAGCAACGAATACGGCGACTTCATGCAAAACTTGCAGAGTTGGAAAAAGAAAGAGAGAAAAGACAACAGAGCCGGGAAGGATTGGCAAAAATGAAGCAGGTAGTGTTTTTCTTGCTAGCTACTTCTACTGTTAGTCGTTTCGTATCTTTTACTAATCGCCAATATAAGCAGTTTTTCTT